TTTTGACCCTGTTTCCTTCTGACTGATGTAGCACTATTTGGCTCCAACATTCACAGAGATAGAGAATCTTTTTGCCTGAAAAGCAAAGGTGACTAAGTGGGTGATTTCTTGCTTATGGCTTTCAAAGCACACCTTCTCCCACCAGCACATACAGACAAGGTTGCAGTCAGTTTTTAACCAGTTTTTAGGACATTTCTGGATTGGCAAAACATTTAAAAAAATCATCTGAGGGGTATGAGAGATAGGCAGCCCCTTGTTAAGTCTTCCTGTTTTGTCCTTCTGTCTCTCCCTTTGTTTGAAGTTTCCCTGACCCTGTATAGGTGTAACATTCCATGTGACCCGAACAGTACTTTCACAGGCAGTACTGAATTTACAACTGTGGTCTTTTTTCTATCTCTAGAAGCCCTCTTTTAAAAACACAGAGTTTGGAACTAAAAGTTAGAAATGTCCATAGTACTTTGAGGTTCTGATCTTTCATTATGTTAACATGCATAACATCACATTTAATAGGCTACTCAGCCAACTAGTCCATGCCCGTATTTATGCTCCACTCAAGTCTTCTCTCAAACATGCTCATTTAAATCTATCATCATAACTAGCTAGTTGTTTTTCACAAATGCTTGTTAAGCTTTCCGTTAAAGGCATCTAGATTGTTCACTTCAACCACTTCCTGTGGTACAGAGTTCCATATTCTCACCAGTCTTCTGGTAAGAATTTGATTCTGAATTCTCCATTGGATTTCTTGGTGATCATCTTCTATTGACAGCCTCTAGTACTGCCCTCCCCAAGGGGAATCATTGTCTCTTTATCCTCTCTATCAAAAGGTTTCGTAACTTTAACCTTCTCTGTTATATTTCCTCTCAGCCTCCCTCATATAAGTAAATAGAGACTTGCCAAGCCTCCCTAGATATAAGCACCTACACGTTTCTAGTATCGTAGAGTCCTACACACTGAAACAGACCCTTCGGTACAAACAGTCTGTGACAAACATAATCCCAAACTAAACTAGTCCCACCTGCTTGATCCTGGCCCATATCCTTCCAAACCTTTCCTGCTCATGCACTTATCTTTATAAATCTTCTCTGCACCCTCTCCACTTCCTCTGTACTTGGTGGTCAGAACCGCACACAGTACTCCATGTGGTGTAGCCCAGGGTTAAATACAGGGGTAGCATTATTTTCAGTTCTATCCCTGTAGAAATAAAATCTAGTGCTTGGATGGCTTTTCTGTGGCCTTGCTAATCTGTTATGCAACTTTTAGTGATTGTATTCCTTGATCCCTTTGTTCCTCTACCTTCCAAGCAATACATGACAGCGCTGTTCTTCCTATCGATATGTATTGCATCACATTTCAGTGATGAACTTAATTTGCCAGTTCTTCAGGTTTGTTAATTTGGAATTTGTTCATGGAATTTGTTACAGTCCTCCTCAGTACTGACTGTTCCCTCAATTTCATGTCATTTGCAAATTCAGAAATTGTGGTTTTGATTTCAGTGTTCGAATTATTAGCTGAAACTGTGAACAGCAGTGGTCCCAGCACTGATCCTTGTGGAATATCACTTCCCACTTTTTGTTGCTCCGAATAACAACCCTTTACTCCTATTTATTCCTGAATTCCATATTTTCCAAACTTTGTCTCGGGTATATGTTTAATTGCTTGGCAGTACAGAATTTAAACATTGCTAAAAGGAGGTTAGAAGTTAAAGCTATTTGAGTTGGACTTGTTAGAAACAGGATGCAAGAAACAGACTTGAAAAAGGCGAGACCTCTTTATACAGCTTGAGAAGATGGTACTGATTGGCTGGAAGTGCTGCAAGTGTGGATCTTAATTAGAAGAATGGGTGGGGTTCTCATAGAAACCCATAAAATTGTAACGGGACTAGAGAGGGCAAATGCAGGAAGGTTGTTCCCGGTGACTGGGTCTTTCGGTACCAGGCCTCACAGTCTAAGGATACAGGGTGGAGCATGTAGGACTGAGATAAGGAGAAACCTCCTCACCTAGAGAGTGGTGAGCCTGTGGAATTCTCTGCCGCAGGAAGTGGTTGAAGCCAAAACATTGACTATTTTCAAAAAGGTGTTAGATATGAGTCTTGGGGCAAAAGGGATCAGAGGATATGGGGAGAAAGTGGGAACAGGGGACTGAGTTAGATGATCAACTGTAATCCTGTTGAGTGGTGAAGCAGGTTCAAAGGGCTGAATGGCCTACTGTAGCTCCTACTTTCTGGTTTCTAGGTGCTGGACAAACACTTGTAGTGATCATGTTCCTCTGATCATGACAGCATTGCTGGTTTGGGAGCATTTCTGCCTTTAAGATATCGTTCAAGTTCCAAACCAGTGACTTGAGTCTATTGGGGTAGCATAGTGGCTCAGTGGTTAGCACTGCTGCCTCACAGCACCAAGGGCCTGTGTTCAATTCCAGCCTTGGAGTTTGCACATTGTCCCCGTATCTGCATGGGTTTGTTCTGGTTTCCTCCCACAGTCCAAAGATGCGCAGGTTAGGTGGATTGGCTGTGCTAAATTGTCCTGCGGTGTCCAGGGACATGCAGGCTAGGTGGGTTAGCCGTAGGAAATGTGGGGTTACAGGGACAAGGTGGGGGTGGTGTGTGTGGATGTGTGTGTGTTGCTGTTTGGAGGGCTGAAGCAGATTGGATGGGTTGAATGGCCTCTTTCTGCACTGTAATGATTCTATGATTCCTCCGGTTGCCATTGTGGAGATGAGATATTAAACTGAGTACACCCCCCCTCCCCCCACGCCCTGACTGGTGAGTGTAGAAGATCCCATGGCTCTGTGTGTAAAGAGTGGCAGAGTGTGGTTATGTTTCATGCAGGTAATGAAGTAACAGTGGGACATTGCAAACAGGGAGTTAATAGAACTCGCGGTATTGTGTAGACAGGACATGGCCTGTTTGAAGCAGTGCAAACTGGAATCAGCTGGTTTGTTGCAGAGATTTACAGCCAAAGTAGGGAAACAGAAAAGAAGGAACACACAGGCTATTCACTAAATTCTAAATCATACAAATGAAACAAAGAACGAACTGGGTCTTCATACTCCCTCAACAGGAAGTGAAGTACGAGACTATTGTAATCGTGCTGAAAAGGTGTGGATAATAATAATTGGAGCCGGTGCGTGTGACAATGGTTGCCCTGGTAACCAGACTCAAATTATCATCTTAAATACCCATTAGGGAGGGGACCATTTAGTCTGTAACATGAGGTTGTATTAAATTCAGATAAGCTTAAGATAAAGCTTAATTGGTTTATTGTCTTCAAATTCACTGAAATGAACTTGTCAAACCCCTCAGAAATGTTTCACTTTCAATGAGGTAATTTCTCATGTAGAGTAGATTTGTAGCTCGAGCCAACCAACCACAATAATTTCTCATTCTTCTGAACTCTAGCAAGCATGGGTCCAATTTGACCATCTCCCCAGCAGAGTGGGCAGTATCTCTGGAGAGAGAAATGATTACGCTTTAGAGTCTTACAGTCACAGAGATGTATAGCACGGAAACAGACCCTCCGGTCCAACTCGTCCTAAACTGATCTAGTCTCATTTGCCAGCATTTGGCCCTTATCCCTCTAAACCCTTCCTATTCATGTACCCATCCAGATGCCTTTTAAATGTTATAATTGTATCAGCCTCCACCACCTTCTCTGGCAGTTAGTTTGATATGTGTACCATCCTTTACATGAAAAATTTGCCCCTCAGGTTTCTTTTAAATCTTTCTTCTCTCATCTTAAACCCATGGCCTTTAGTTTTGGACTCCCTTACCCTGGGGTAAAGACCTTGCCTTTTCACCCTATCCATGCACTTCACGATTTAAGGTCACTCCTCAGCCTCCGAAACTCCAGGTAAAATAGCCCCAGCCTATTCAGCCTCTTCCTGTAGCTCAAACCCTCCAAACCTGCCAACTTCCTTGTAAATCTTTTCTGAACCCTTTCAAGTTTAACAATGTCCTTCCTGTAGCGAGGAGACCAAAATTGAACGCTATATTCCAAAAGTGGCTTCACCAATGTCCTGTGCAGCTGCAAAAAGACCTCCCAACTCCTACACTGAATGCACTGACCAATAACAGAAAGCATACCAAACACCTTCTTCACTACCCTGTCTACCTGCGATTCCACTTTGGAACTATGAGCCTGCACCCCAACATCTCTTACTTTTGTGTGAGTGCAATAATGGACGAAGATGTCCTTAATGGTGTGATGTGCCAATATGTGCATTCACAAACCTCACACAAGCTGCAAATCTCCAGTTCCATCAGCAACAGGCACAGATTTCAGTGAGGACTTCCTTATTGAAGTGGAGATATCTCACAGATTCAGAGAACGCTGGAGAAACTTGGCAGGTCTGGCAGCATCTGTGGAGAGAGTAATAGAGTTAACGTTTCAAGTCCAGTATACCTCTTCTTCAGAATGGTTCTACTAATATTTCCAAACAGTAATCCTTTGTTAGAGCTGGTAGCAGTGAGACTAATTAGAAATGAGACTAAGTTAGGTTTTAAGTGGGTGAAGGGATGAGGGCGGTAAAAGAGCAATAGGGAAGGTCAATGTTATGGTGGAAGATGGGAGAGATGCCGAACCAGAATGGGACAAGTACAGAAACAAAAGATGTGTCCACAGAAGGCATGAGTCACAGAATGATCAAATTCCATCCAAAGGTAGAAACAGGGGAAAATGACAATAAAACCAAAACCTGTAAAGCAAAAGGAAATGAAATGGCAACGGGCTGTAGAAAGATCACCGGACTCAAAACATTAATTCTGCTTTCTCTCCACAGGTGTTGCTGAATTTCTCCAGCTTTTTCTTTTCTCATTTCAGATTTCCAGCATCCACAGTTGCTTTATTATTGCAGTCTGGTATTGTTATCTCAATCTTGTGTCTCGAAGCTAAATTGAAAACTGAGATCCATCTCCTCAAACCAATATTAAATTTCATTTGAGTAATGCTGAAAGCTAAAGACAGAGGGGCCAATGTGACAGCAATGTGGAGAATTAAAATTCGAAGTAATTGGAAGCTGAGGACTTTGGAAAGAGGTGCTTTGGAAAGTGCACAAAGATTTTGGATATCTCGCAGATTCAGAGAGTACTGGAGAAACTCAACATGTTTGGCAGAATCTGTAGTGGGAGAAACTGAGTTAATGTTTCAAATCCAGTGACCCTCCTTCTGAATGGTTCTGAAGTCCTCAACTGTTTCTATCTCCACAGATGCTGTCAGACCTGCTGGGTTTCTCCAGCATTCTCTCTGTTTCAGATTTCCAGCATTTGCAGTGCTTTGTTTTTATATCCTAGATTGTCTTCTTCTTAGGTTCAGGTCAGAGAATTGCTCCCGCATCACTCTGTATGGATATAGTTACCTGCTAAAAAAATTCTTTACCCTTCTTTCACTTTCCTCTCTCTTCCATCAGCTCCTTCTGCTCTGTGTGATCTCTATTCATTCTCCAAGCCACGTTATATTCTGAATTTTTGAATTATTCGTGAACTTTATGTTAGCAATGGTCATATTTGTGAAAGTTGTGCTGGTTGTCTATTTTTTACAAGTAAATGTTTTCACGAGCATTTAAAAATGAACATTATACAACTGAACGTTTCTGCATGTGCATCTAAATTTTGTAGTAGTGGACATTGTGCTGGAGAAATTTGAACATAGGATTGTGGAGAGAGTGAATGTTGTACTTCTGTTCTGTAGCACTACACTCTCAGCTTTCCCAATTGCTGTCTGTTCAGCTGGGCCTACTGTTCTGTATCCAGTTAAAAAGAAAGAATAGCATTTATATATCACCTTTCATAACTACTGAACATCCCAAAGCACTTGAGAGGTAATTAGGTAGTTTAGAGGTGCAGTCACTGTTGTAATGTAGGAAATGCAATCGCAAGTCTATGCTCCCACAAACAGTGATATCATAACATTTAGACAATCTGTGATGTTGATTGAGAGGTAAATATTTGCCACGAGCCAGGGGATAGGTCCCCTACCCTTATTCAAAATAAAGCTATTGGAATCTTTACATTCACCAGACCAGGCAAAAAGGGCCATATTAAGTTCTGATTCGAAGGATGGTACCTCCAACAGTGTAGCACACCCTCAGTACTGGAGGATGATCTTGATTGCTGTAGTGAAGCTCTAACCCTGACACTTGTGACATGGAGGCAAGTATGCTGCTTATTGAGCCAGAGCTGGTCCTGTAATATATAACAATTAAAAAACTAATTTCATCAATATAATACAATCATGACAATAGATAACTGACTTGATGATGTGAAGAAGTTATCTTGACTCTGTGTAGCAGTTCAGAAGGTGGGCAAGCATTATGGGTGATATCTGCCAGCTCACAAAGAGAAAATTAGAGTTAGGGGAACTCAGAATCAAAAAAAAATCTTTGCTGCAGCAAATTGTTTTGCACAAATATTGAAATGAAGGTAGGTAGAGGATAGGGATCAAGCTAGAAAGATGAATACAGTCTGAGAAGGACCCAGTCTCATTGCAACATCACAAACACTATGAAGTCAATCAAATATAACTCTGCAGACAGGCACTACAAAGCCAACATTGCACATGTATTCAAGCAAACATCTACACTACAACGATAGCAGCAAAACTGAAATCAATGGGTATCAGGGGCAAATTCTCCACTGGTCAGAGTCACACCCGGCACATCGAAAGATGGTTGTGTTTGTTGGAGAGCAGTCATCTCAGGTCCAGGACATCTCTGCAGGAATTCCTCAGGGTAGTGTCCTAGGCCCAACCATCTTCAGCTGCTTCATCAATGACCTTCCCTCCATCATAAGGTCAAAAGTGGGGATGTTCGCCAATGATGGCACAATGTTAGTGCCATTCATGACTCCTCAGATACTAAAGGAGTCCAAATTCAAATGCAACAAGACCTGGACAGTTCCAGGCCCTGGATGCCAAGTGGCAAATAATATTCGTGCTACACAAACACCAGGCAAAGACCATCTCCAATAACATACAATCTAATAACCACCCCTTGAATTTCAACGGTGTTGCCATCACCAAATCCCCCACTATCAACATTTTGGAGGTTGCCATTGACCAGAAACTCAACTGGACTCACCACATAAACACAGTGTCTACAAGAGCAGGCCAAAAGCTGGAAATCCTGCAGTGAGTAACTCACCTCCTGACTCCCCAAAACCTGTCCATCATCTACAAGACACAAGTCAGGAGTGTGATGGAATACTCCCCACTTGCCTGGATGGGTGCAGCTCCAACAACACTCAAGAAGTTTGAAACCATCCAGGACAAAACAGCCCGTGTGATTGGCATCACATCCACAAACATCCACTCCCTCCACCACCGACGCTCAGTAGCAGCAGTGTGTACTATCTACAAGATGCACTGCAGAAATTCACCAAAGATCCTCAGACAGCACCTTCCAAACCCATGACCACTTCCATCTTGAAGGGCAAGGGTAGCAGATACATAGGAACACTACTACATGCAAGTTCCCCTCCAAGACACTCACTGTCCCGATTTGGAAATATATCGTCGTTCCTTCACTGTCACTGGGTCAAATTCCCAGAATTTGCTCTCTAAGGGCTTTGTGGGTTTACCTAAAGCACATGGTCTGCAGCAGTTCAAGAAGGCAGCTCACCACCACCTTCTCAAAGTGTAACAAGGGATGGGCAAGAAAAGCTGGCCCAGACAGCGACGCCCACGCCTCATGAAAGAATTTTTAAAAATGGAAAGGCTATACTGACCAGGAGAGATTCAACACGTTGGGGCTGTACTGCAGAAAAATAAAGACTGAAGGATGACCTGATGGTGATCTTCAAGACTCTGAAAAGATTTGATAATGTAGAGGTGGACAAAATGTCTCCATTTGTGATGGAGTCTAAAACTAGTGTCCATTAATGCATGATTGTCACTCAAATCTAATATGTAATTAAAGAGAAAGCTCGTGACTCAGAGCAGTTAGAATGTAGAACTCTACCACAAGCAATAGTGGAGCTAAGTAGAGGTTCACTTCAGGGGCAGCTAGATAAAAACATGAGGGACAAAAGAATAGAAGGATATATTGATTGGGTGATATGAAGAGGGGTCAGAGGCTTATGTTCATGTGCAGCATACACTAACATGGACCTATTGACTTGCATGGCCTATGGTTATGCTATAAATTTCATTTAATTCCATAGATGTAGCCCTATTGCTCTCCAGTACAGGGAATAAGATACAGAAGATAAGGAATTACTCAAGCCCTCACTTACACAGCTCCCTGTCCTTATTGAATTTCACAGAACTTGGCCACATGTACACAAGTTCAAAGGGAAATGTATTAATTTTCCAGAAAATGTAACACGTTGTGTCTACACAAAGGACAGTCCTCAAAGTGCAAAATTATTTCACTCGGCAGCCCAGGTAACAAGGTTTAAAGTCTGAACACATAGAGTCATAGGGATGTACAGCATGGAAACAGACCCTCCGGTCCAACTCGTCCATGCTGACCAGATATCCTAGATAAATCTAATCCCATTTGCCAGCATTTGGCCTATATTCCTCTAAATTCTTCCTATTCATATACTCATCCAAATGCTTTTAAATGTTGTAATTGTACCAGCCTCCACCATTTCCTCTGGCAGTTCATTCCATACACACACCACCCTCTACGTGAAAAAGTTACCCTTTAGGTCCCTTTTAAATCTTTCCCCTCTCACCTTAAACCCATGCTGTCTAGTTTTGGACTCCCCCTCCCTAGGAAGAAGACCTTGTCTACTTACCCAATCCATGCCCCTCATGATTCTATATACCTTTCCAAAGTCACCCGCAGCCTTCAAAGCTCCAGGGAAAATAGCCCCAGCCTATTCAGGCTCTCCCTGTAGCTCAAACCCTCCAACCCTGACAACATCCTTGTAAATCTTTTCTGAACCCTTTCAAGTTTAACAACATCTTTCCAAAGCAGTATTCCAATAGTGGTCTAACCAATGTCCTATATGGCCGCAACATGACCTTCTAACTCGTATACTCAATGCACTGACCAATAAAGGCAAGCATACTAAATGGCTTCTTCACTGTCCTATCTACCTGTGACTTCACTTTAAAGGAAATATGAGCCTGCACTCCAAGGTCTCTTTGTTCAGCAACACTCCCCAGGATCTTACCATTAAGTGTATAAGTCCAGCTCTGATTTGCCTTTCTAAAATGCAACACCTCACATTTGTCTAAATTAAACTCCATCTGCCACTCCTTGGCCCATTAGCCCATCTGATCAAGATTCCGTTGTACTCTGAGGTAACCTTCTTTGCTGTTCACTACATCTCCAATTTCACTGTCATCTGCAAACTTACTAACCATACCTCCTATATTCACATCCAAATCATTTACATAAATGATGAAAAGCAAT